GCAGCGTAGCAAATGCACAGCCGCACTGGCTGAGCTGCAGAAAATGCAACGCGGCCGCCTCAGACCCCGACGTGCTACAATTGCGAGGGCCCGCCCATCGCTGCTTGCAGCTTTAATTTCACTTGTTATTCCTTAATAAATTCTTTACATTTTGCTTAAGGTTTGTGTTTTGAGGTTTTAATTCTCGACCGGAGTGATACGTCCTGGGATTCCATTTCCACAACCCAATAATTTATTACGCCTCGTAGGTGACTTATATTCCCCTAGACGCGGGACGTAATACCGATTACAGCTCTTTTCACGCAGTGGAGTGATGTGGCAGACGCAGACGAGACGTTCGGCAGACGCAGACGAGACGTTCGGCAGACGAACGAGTGATGTGGCAGACGCAGACAAGACGTTCGGCAGACGCAGACGAGACGTTCGGCAGACGAGACGTTCGGCCGACGCAGACGAGACGTTCGGCAGACGCAGACGAGACGTTCGGCAGACGAACGAGTGATGTGGCAGACGCAGACGAGACGTTCGGCCGACGCAGACGAGACGTTCGGCAGACGAACGAGTGATGTGGCAGACGCAGACGAGACGTTCGGCAGACGCAGACGAGACGTTCGGCAGACGAACGAGTGATGTGGCAGACGCAGACGAGACGTTCGGCAGACGCAGACGAGACTTTCGGCAGACGAACGAGTGATGTGGCAGACGCAGACGAGACGTTCGGCAGACGCAGACGAGACGTTCGGTAGACGAACGAGTGATGTGGCAGACGCAGACGAGACGTTCGGCAGACGCAGACGAGACGTTCGGCAGACGAACGAGTGATGTGGCAGACGCAGACGAGACGTTCGGCAGACGCAGACGAGACTTTCGGCAGACGAACGAGTGATGTGGCAGACGCAGACGAGACGTTCGGCAGACGCAGACGAGACGTTCGGCAGACGAACGAGTGATGTGGCAGACGCAGACAAGACGTTCGGCAGACGAACGAGTGATGTGGCAGACGCAGACGAGACATTCGGCAGACGCAGACGAGACGTTCGGCAGACGAACGAGTGATGTGGCAGACGAGACGTTCGGCAGACGAGACGTTCGGCAGACGAACGAGTGATGTGGCAGACGCAGACGAGACGTTCGGCAGACGCAGACGAGACGTTCGGCAGACGCAGACGAGACGTTCGGCAGACGCAGACTAGACGTTCGGCAGACGCAGACGAGACGTTCGGCAGACGCAGACGAGACGTTCGGCAGACGCAGACGAGACGTTCGGCAGACGAACGAGTGATGTGGCAGACGCAGACGAGACGTTCAGCAGACGCAGACGTCACGTTCATTGAGACGAGTGCATGTTGCAAAGTCATATTAAAGAGCCGATCGGAATGCCATATTCACTGAGTGTGCGCGCACACATTACGCATACAATAACGAACGCCATAGAAGAAGTCATCCGTCTTTTGGACATTCATCATATCGCAATGGTTTTCATTTATTGATCACTAAATTACTGTCAGTCATTTTTAAAGAAGTTGAGAAGTGGTTGTAATGGTGAAACCTCCAAACATTTGTTTCTCAGAAAAGCCCTGAATGTTAAAGCTCTATGAAAACATTTACTGAGGTCAGGCACCAGGATGATGAAGTGAGTCCGAGATGTTATTGTCTGAGCACATCTGAATTAGAAAAATGTGTGTTTTACTTGTCTAAACACAATCTATTTCTATATATAGCACGGGAGACAGAAATAATCCTAAATCTGTAAAGGGAGGTATTTTATTAAATGTAAAATAGTACAGACCAAAGTTGACTTGTGTCGCAATTTCGATTTTATTCAAAAAATATTATGACTCTAGTATTTCTACGACTTTATTCTCATTTTTAGTTTTTAGTGGCACTAAAATGCAATAGAGGTATAAACTCGTTTTTACTTGATTATTAAATTTATAGCAACACCATGGAACTTCGGTCGCGCTACTGGTTGGAAACAAAGTTGTCCATTACCCCTGTCGTAAATAATTTAGCCTGCCACAGCCTATATCGCACACACGCTCGTTGTTTATCCAGCACCGGCTTTGGCATGAACAATGTCCACATTCGAGGTAGAGTATGTTACATGATTTCATGAAAGGATGATGTATTGTGACATCATAAACGAAGAAGAACGAAATAATGACTATTGTAGCACTTGACGTAAAGCAGTCGAATTTTGTAGTTTTTTTTTCTTTGTGTGTGTGCGGGTTCCTCCCCAGACGTGTCATTTCACTTATTTTAAGTCGATGTACCATCACAAGGGTCTTGGAAATATATTATGAAGGTTGAAAAACTACAAAGTGTTACTTTAAGGTTTATATACATACTAGTTTCCATGAAAGAGTTGAAGATAAATCTTTAAATTACTGCTGCGCTGCCAGTTTGATCCATTTTAAATGATTATAAACAGCAAAAAACAGCACAAACAGGCTGTAGTCAACCAAAGAAATCTTTAGTCGACCAAAGTCCTTCCTGCACAACGATCAGTCGACTACAAAAAAGACGCGATGTTTTGCATTTTGATTGAACATTTATTAAACAACTGTCCTAGAGCATTTATAAAACAACGAAAAAACATCAATAATACATAAAATTATAATAATAATACAATTCTTTGAAAATTAAGTGATTTTTTTTAACTGCAAAGGGAGGAGCACAGTGACACAATCCTGCACCTGACCACACCACACAGTACAAAAAAAATATGATTAAAAAAATATGCCAAATAATGAAAAATCCTTACAAAAGCTCTCGTTTATACAGGCTGTATATTCTTTACTTCAAAAGCTATGGGTTAACTTTTCTCAGACCGATCTAGGCTTTTTTAAACAAACACACACACACACACACACACACACAAAACAAATAGCCTAAAAAACAATCCCAATAATAATAATAATAATAATAGGCTGTATTTCAGGAAGGCGTACAGGTTTATTTTCGTTTTGTTACATTATTTAGGCTATTGTCAAATGTGTCAAGTCTACAAATAAAAACATAAGAAAACACAATCTATTGAGTCAGCATAATAAAGCTGCTAAAGGGCCTGCTCACATATTGCGTCTTTTGTGCGCTTAAGTTCGTTATTTCAAATGCACGCGGTATGCGCGCTCATCATGGAAGCGACGCGCTCGTTTTTTCCAAGTGGAGTGCAGCAGGAGTGCAGCCATACAGATAGCACAAGCCTTTTTGATGTGATGTTTACATCTGGAAGACATATTTTAAAGAGTGTTTGCTCATCTGCAATACGTCTATAGGACGTTTCCTGTCAGATGTCAAATAGACATTTAGAAGATGTCAGTTTACAGTTTTTTTCGATTGCTAAACCACAGTGGAGCACAACTGGAGCTACATGTGCAAAACTCTAACTCCAGTCTGCACAGCAGCAGTTCATGTGGACCAAACTCTAGATCGTTTTTCATAGCTTGAACACAGTTTTCAAAACTCTACACACTTATCCCATGACTTTAAACACAACCTGCACAACACTGGATTTACAGCACTTTGTTCAAATGCTAACACACTGCTGTCAAAACTGTGAACCACTCATTCAAAACAGAATAAATTTCAGCCTTGTGCCTTTCACACACTGCTGATTTTCAAACAATTTCAGCTGAAAACTTGTGGCCTGATGCTTGAGAGAGGCAGAGTTACAGTATTATAGTATCTACTTTTAGTTTCTACCTTTTTTTCTCATTACTGTAATTCTGTAAATGACTTTTATACTACAGACTATTGAAGCAAACTGCTAATTTTCAATTGTTATGTTCTAAAAATGTAAAAATATCAAATTAAAGAATGTCACTGTTTTCTTTGAAGAAAATATTACTTTGTATGAAGTGTGAAATTGTTGAAACTGTAAAGATGAAAAGTGTGGATTTTCTGTATTGGTGTTTGATGCTAGTGTTTTTCCTCTCAGTGTGTTCTGAGTGACAGTGTGTGTTATCTCAGTGAGGGTTGTGCATAGTGTTGTGCACACTGAGCCTGTTTTGAGCCGTGTGTTAAGAGTTGTGCTCAGCTCCAGTCGTGCTCACTGTCGTTTAGCAATCGAAAAAAACTGTAACATGCATTCTAAATCATTACATCTTAGAGACATCTTCTAAACGTCTATTTGACATCTGACAGGAAACGTCCTATAGACGTATTGCAGATGAGCAAACACTCTTAAAAATACGTCTTCCAGATGTAAACGTCACATCAAAAAGACTTGTGCTATCTGTGCGGTTCCACGTGGTGCGCTAAACTGTGGCTCTGTTACAAAAAATTGCCTAAATTACAGCATTTAAAGTTGGGGATAAAACATAGGCAAATTATATTTAGAATACAGTACTATATAACTGCTTATAAAGGAATAAATATCAAGGAGTAAATCAATGAAAATGTCTTTCTATTGGTAAAAAAAAAATAATAATATGTAACGGGTCGACCAATGAGAATGTCAGTCGACCAAGACCGCATGACTAATTAGTCGACTAAACGACTAAAGTTGACAGCCCGCAGTTCATCTTGACTAAAGTAGTAAACTAATGTTAGCTATAAGCTTTATTGTAAAATATTACCATGATAAATAAAACAAAGTGAAGTCGGCGTCGTGGACAGTCTGTTTTTCTCTTCATTTTATTTTTTTCTCTCTCATCCTCAACCTCCAATTTGTTTCTGTACAACTGTGATCACATAATCAGCAAATAGTCATCAATGTATGTGGATTTAACAAAAGAATAATCTCTCTTTTTTTTTAATTTCAAAGAAAACTGAGCCATGTGTGCAGATTAGATCGGTTTTATTCAGATATTGTAGTTCGACATCTGGAGGGAGACATTACATATCATTTTAAAAATGGTCTTATATGTTTATTTTCCCAGAGTACTGTATAACCACACTTCACTATATCAACATCCCATTTCACATGAACAATGTGTTTTAATAATTCTAAAAGCACAAAACACAATGAGTATCAAACTACTGGCAGACATGGCACATCTTTAACAATCATCCATTAGAATTAGAAATGAAATCAGAATTAGACATGAATGGATTACATAATGTTGTGTTTGCAGCCTATGTCTGTAATATTTGTCATGATAAAGCATCAGCATCTTCACTGTATTGCAGTAAAAGCTCCAGCAGCTCCAGCTAATCCTGCTAACAGTGTAACAGGAAGTTCATTTCCTCCTATAAAGTGACCAATCACGGCTCCGGCTGATAAACCACACACAACACCTGCTGTCTTCAGTAATATCTGTCTAACAGCACTGGGACGCTCATGAGAAGATGAACAGATAAACTGACTCTTCAACATCAATCTCCAGAGAATCCCAGTGAAAACTCCAGCAATTGATGCTGATCCTCCAGTAAAGAAACCCTTAGTGAACATCCATCCATGTGAAGAGTCTCTTTTCAACACCGAAACACCTCCTGACACTACAGCAAAAACCATAAATACACAGATATATTTCAGCTTTAACTGTTTACAGAACAGATGTTTCTCCCTCTTCCCAGCTTCATATTCTCCTCTCACTCGTGTCTCTGTCTCTATTCTGACTCTCTCTAATCTCATTCTGTGTTCTCTCTCTCTCTCTTTCTCCAGTATTTCCTGTTCATATTCTCTCCTCACTCGTGTCTCTGTCTCTATTCTGACTCTCTCTAATCTCATTCTGTGTTCTCTCTCTCTCCTCTCCTCCTCTTCTCTCTTCTCCTCCTCTGCTCTCCTCTCTCTCTCCTCTCTTCTCCTCTCAGTCTCCAGCATCATCTCGAGTGTGTAGCAGGAGTTTGAGTTCTCAGACACGAGTATATCGATCTTCTCCATGAGTTCAGTCACCTGTCCTCTGTTTGCTGGAGCTTTAATGTTAAACTCAAGATATCTCTGCCCACATCGGTTAATAAAATCAGATAATTGAGGATTCATCCTGATCATTTCTGCTAGTGTCCTCATGTGTCTCTGACCTGCATGAGTGAAGAGCACTACAGTAAATCTGAGAGCTTCTTCACCAAACTTCTGCTCAAACCAACCAGTGAAATCCATCTCCTGCTCAGTGAAAGTGCTTAAAGACAGAAGAAGCAGGATCACATGAGCTCCTGGTGAACATAATTCAAGAGCTTTCTTCAGCTCTGAGTCTGAATCAAAGTCAGTGCGAGTGGAGAAGATGAAGTCTGGAGTATCGATGACTCTTACACTCCTGTTATTAACAGCTCCAGTGTATGATTTACAGGATCTGGTCACCGATGAAGAACTCATTTTTGACTCGAACACTTCAGCATTAAAGATGATGTTCCCTGTGGCGCTTTTCCCGGATCCGGTTTTCCCGATCAACAGCAGCACTGTGTTCTAAAACATTTAGAAAAATAAATAAATAATTGTATAAATATATTATTTCATTTATTTTGTGTTAAAGAATCAGAGAGACACTCACCTGCTCCATCATCTGAAGATCCATTATGTTTTTGCTCAAAGACATTTCCACAGATGAAACCACTTTTAATTCATAAAACAGTGTAAACAACAACAGCAAATAAGTAATGCAAGTAGCAAACACTTCAATATATATTATTTGTTTGTTTGTTTCAGTTTCATTTAGTAATGACCTGAAAACAATTAAATTCATAAAACTCAAAACCTATGGCAACATAAACCTAAATAACCCAGAAAGAGATCATAGGCTGCAGAATTTAGTTTCATGTTGCCATAGGTTTTGAGTTTGTATACAAATTTTATTGATTAGCCTATCAGAAATTTCAATTCAGTTTCAAAACATCTGGAGGAATCACTTCCTTAGTAATATATTCCCCTGGACATAAAGTTAAATAAGTGAATATTATTCAAATCAACAACGAATTGTCTTGCATAATAGTCCGACGGCAGCTACTTAACGACATTCAGTATTAAGCTAGGCCATATTTATGTCGGTCTATTAAATATAGTCGTATTTGTTTACGATATTGTAACTGGAAATATTCTAACTAGATATGAACAGTTAAACACAAATAAATGACTGGATCGTTATACCGGATCTTTATACTTACCAAGAAGCACACAAGGTAGTCGATACAAAATGAGTTTCCTCAGAAGGGAGCTTCAAAACGACGAAGATGACTTTACTTTCACTTGTGTGACACAGGCTTCCAGTAAATCACGTGACGCGCTGAGTCGCTGTTTGTTTTCATAACGGAAGAGGGCGCTGTGATACAGGCAAAAATACACCAGAGGATTCCATCTATTATGGGTGGCACTTCCGGTTTGGGGAACTTTCATTCAAAAAAGGCTGAAACGAATCAGTTTTAAATCATAAGGTTGCCCTACAAATAAAGCTGATCCGTCAGTTTGACTGGGTGAGCTTTCAATTTTCCTTCATGACTTATTTTCAGCAGAGTTGTATAAAGTAGAAGTAGTCCCAATATTTACAATCAATTCAGTAGAATTGATTGCGCAGGTTAACGTTGTTGATTCGGTAAAACTCTGCAATACATGAAGAGAATTACACAGAATTGTGAACGTATTTTAAGTTGTCAAAATAGAAAGTTAATTATCATTCTTTAATTTAAAACAGGCTGTATAATGCTATCAAATAGAAAATGAAAATACTTTTCATTTCCTTTAGAAAATACTTTTCATTTCAATTTTTTTTTAAATTCATATTTATAAACAATTTACGAATCTCACCTATTGGCAACTTTCTGATGGTGAAACGCTGACTCTCTGTAGCACTCTTTGAAGTCCAATATCTATACACAACATGCACACAAAGATGATTCGTTAATGTTCAAAAACATTTTTTAAATAATCCATACAATGCTAAAAAAAAAATTAAAAAGTGAATTTACAGATAAAAAAGGTTTCCAAATCTGTCAAAAACATTAAATGTACAATAGCAAAATGAAGAGCTGAAAATATGAGCAAGTTAGTTACTAACAAGCACAGCATCAAAGTTGTGTGCTTATATGCCATTTCTGTTGATGTTTGGTTTTGTTAATACTAACCAGAGTTGTATAAAATAGAAGTAGAAAGTAGACGTGACGGCTCTCATCACGATCACGTCATCATTTTAAGCCACCATTATGGAGATCAGTGTTTGCTTTAGTTGGGCTCTTGACACTTATACTTTCACTTTAAACTTTGTTTGTCTGCTTTTATTAATTTATAACAGTCAAATGAACAAAGACAACTGAGATCTGAGAGTGTAGGTTGTGATTTGGCATAGTCATGCTGAAAATGAAACTTTTTATATAATTTGGTTTAACTTGTTAGCAACACTTTAGTGGTTCTAAAACATATGATTATCAATATTTTTCTGATATTCCAAAATATTTAATATAAATTATTCTAATCAAATCACTATCAAATGCATTTATTTAGAAACACAGACATCAATAATCAGCCTGTGTATCTCAACCGTGGTGACCATATAATCCTTGTTGCCACCAATCACAACTCATTATTAATGGCTCCCATCATGCATTGCGGTATGAATAAATTATGATCTGAATTGTCTATGTAATTTAATTTTCCTAATTGAATATTCTGCTCGTCGCCGTTGTTGAGAAGCATTGACTGAATCTTGAGGTCTGTGTGTGCCTAAAAGAGAGAATTTTTATTTATTTATTTTTTTTTTTTACAACTTTTAAGAAATCCTTTACGTTATAAATTCTGGATATTTATGCAGAATCTCAGTTATGCTGTAACCAACAAAATAAATCACAAATACTAAATTCAAATGATGATTGTCACAACCAAGCGGCAACCTCCCCGTCTCCCTCTTAAAGCCAACACGGAAGTGAATTAAACTGCAATTTATCGAGTGGCCGCTTGAGGCAGGCTGCAGAAGCGAGTCAAATCTGTATCTCCCCCATGTTAAAATGCCCAACTTTACAGCAGAAAAAAACATGTTTACAGCCTGGAGCAAAAAGTGGCTTTGGCCTATAGAGCTTATTTTTCCCTTCATGACAACTGTGAGGGGGGTGAATTTTTTTACAACTCATCTGTTTAAATTATATTTAAGCCTTAACGTTCTGCATAATTAAGGGCGTGGACACTTGAGTGACAGGTGCCGCTGCTTTCACTGCGAGTAGTTTGTCTGCTGTCTGTTAGCGTCACCCTCAGCTGTGTTTGTGCTTTTCCGGGATTATTTCATACAATTTAATATACCTTCGCCCGCGCAAGCCGTTGGATTCCGTCGTGTTGAGTATGGAGAGAATAACCAGCGCTGCGTTTCCAGTTGTTTCCCTCGCATGCACTAATGGATGTCTGATGATTTCAGTGCTTTCTCTCCGTCCATGCAAAGATGCACACCCTTGAATGAGCGCGGATTTCTAGTTCATTTACTTGAAGTTCTGAGGTAAGTTAATATCTTTGGTTTGACCCATCTGAGAAATTGAGAGGCGGCCAAAATCAGATTGTAAAATGGACTGAATTAAAGCTCTTTACGAACTTGACGTGAGATGCCGACGTGTGCTTGCCTTGAAGAATCACTGTCACATGCACAAGCTTAGAGCAATATTGTAAGTAATTAATACATTTTTAACTAGCAGAATAATCAGTGTTGGGTAAGTTACTCTAAAAAAGTAATTAATTACTAGTTACTAATTACCTCTTCAACAGTGTAATTAGATTACTGTACTAATTACTCTCTCTAAAAAGTATTTAATTACTTTTAATTACTAATTACTTTCAAAATCCCATATCAATCTCATCCAGCTGAATAATACAAGGATAGACATGAATCTGTTTTAATTCTTTCAAATAAATACTATAAAATTACATTATAAAAACATACTTTTTAGCATCAGACAATACATTTTGATGTTAAACCCACTATTGTTTTATATCTGATCTCATGACATTTCACACTTTGTTCATACATATTTTACAATAATTCATACGAATTTGTACGAGTGCGGTCGTATTATTTAGACACCTCATAAAATGCGGTGAAATACGAATCGCTGTGAGATCGGATTGATCTATACACAGTATTTACCTCAATTACATCAGAAGTAACTGTAATTAAATTACAGATAAATGAAGAGTAATCCCTTACTTTACATTTTCAAGGGAAAAGTAGTTAAATTACAGTAACTAATTACTTAGTAATTAGTTACACCCAACACTGAGAATAATAATGCATCACGATGCGATAGTTGACTGTATGTTGTGAGAAATGTGTGTGATTATGTACTTGTGAGATTAATAAAGTTGATAAAAAAGGAAAGTAAATAAGTCTCACTTTTAGTTACGTCTTAACTATTATAATATTTCGAAGGGCAAAACATGAACTTTAACCATTGGCTTTACTTTTTTCAATCAGCTGTCAATTCAGTGAGAGGGAGTAGAGCAGTAGCATAGCATTAGCACCTCAGCTCCACCTGCGTCCCGCCTTTTTGCCCATTTTAATTTATCCGGTAGTGACGAGAGGTGACGCACTGCCAAGATGGCGACGGCCGGCCACGCCCACTTTAGGCCTCAAAAACGCTCTTCAGAAACCTATGGGTGACGTCACGGACACTACGTCCATATTTTTTTACAGTCTATGGTCACAACATAACCAAAACTATTAGTTTGTATGTTTTTACTTTGTTCTAGTGATGTGTCGTTCATGAACGATTCGTTCATTTTGAACGAATCTTTAATATGACTCGGGACTATCGAGTAAGTTGTCTCAGGGAGTGATTCGTTCATGTTGTGTTACCCGCGCATGCGCATTGCGCAACATATGGATTCTGAATCTGTACTGGAAACAGAAATGATTAGTTCATCTCTCGAGTCTCGAGTTCGGGTTCGGGGCGAGTCCGAGTCTTTCGTTCTTCCTGTCAGTCCCATAGAGCCTATGCTGTTAGTACCGGAAAGAGGAATGATTAGTTCATCTCTCGAGTTCGGGTTCGGTCGGGTCCGAGTCTTTCGTTCTTCCTGTCAGTCCCATTGAGTCTATGCTGTCAGACCACCGGAAAGAGGAATGATTAGTTCATTTGAGTCTTCGGGTTTGAGTCCTTCGTTCTTTAGTCACGTGAGTTGTCACCGTATTGAATAGCCAAATTCACAAACATTTTACAAACTAATTCACAAACCTTTTACAAACAAGCACGTAGATGATGTATAATATAATAGTAGTTAATTAATGTACAATATATAATAAAACACACCACAGATGCATAATATAGAAAAGAGACGGACAGGGACAATAATAAGGAATAATGGAACCTTTGTTTATAATGTTTATTGAACATATTTTGTATTTTAATGCCTATATAACACAATATTCAGACGCAGTCAATAATACGAATCTAATGTTGTATTTGATGCGAGACCCGTGGCCACGTGAGAAAAGAACGACGGACTCAAACCCGAAGACTCAAATGAACTAATCATTCCCCTTTCCGATACTGAAAGCATAGACTTAATGGGACTGACAGGAAGAACGAAAGACTCGGACCCGCCGAACCCGAACTCGAGAGATGAACTAATCATTTCTCTTTCCGGTGCTGACAGCATAGACTCTATGGGACTGACAGGAAGAACGAAAGACTCGGACCCGGCCGAACCCGAACTCGAGAGATGAACTAATCTTTAATCTTTCCGGTCCTGCTATATCGCATGGCACGGCCCAGCAGACAGCACAGATCAGAGTCAGACACTGACGAGTCAACAGCTAACGTCTCGAGACATGAGAGGAGGAGAACAAACCTAATAAATATGAAGTTGCAAAGCAAAGAACGTCTCGGATCAGGAGGTGAGGTGAACTATAACAGGGTCAGACTGCAATAGCCTGAACTTGAGACCCAGCAACTAATTAATAGCTAACGTTACAGTTATTTCAGTTGCTTTTGGCTTTGGCTGCATTACCCTATTATGTTATTTTTACAAATGTAATTAAGATTTTCGTAAGTACTAGATGTTTTGGGATATTTAACATGACATTTTAATTATATAATTATGAAATGACCGAAATGAACGAAATGACTCGATAAAAGAGACTCAAAGATCCGAATCAGTAAAATGATCCGAACTTCCCATCACTACTTTGTTCATCTGACTGTTTTAACTCAGACACAACAGCCAAACAAAACCTAAAGTTAATGTAAGGCTCAAGAGCCCAACTAAAGACTGATCTCTGATCT